TGGTATAATGTTTTCAAAATTGGTGCATTCGTATGAAAAAGTGCATTAACGCTAACGGAGAATATTTTAAGACGCAATAAATTCATTTCTGACCATTTATAGTATTTTTTTCTAATTCATTCCGGAAAATTATAATGCGCCCTACGTAAAACCGAAATTGTTAATTATACGTATATAGTTTCCGCGGTGCCATAAAAAATGCACCCCGCTATGACTCTATTAAAAGTAGTTCTGTAGTTTGTCGCTAGATGGCATTGACCCAAAATATGCAATTTCTGAAATGGAATAATTTTTATTGAATAAATAATAGTTAAGTAATTTGGTAATTCAGCTGAAAATAAAAACTATGAATAAGTAGATAATACTTTTATTTATTTTAGGTACACATGGCCAATTCGTGATTGAATATCTCTATTATTATAAAATATTCTATACAAATTGATATCTCTTACAAACCCGTTACAAACAACATGTTTTACATTATGTACAAAAATTATGGGCACTTCGGAGCAAATCCTAGTTTGCAAACAACATTTTTTTCTAAATATTTTGTTCATATCATTTAATATCATAAATTAAAAATAAAGTCATGATGGTGAAAAATGAAAGTAATAATTTTATACAAAATTAATCTCCCATATCTTTTCTTATATTATATTTACATTATGGACGCCATCTAGCTTTCTAGAAAGTATATTTGTAACTATATCATAATCATATCACTTACTAATAATGCTAAAATATCACAATAACAGTGAAATTATCGGAATGAGATAAATGATTAAGACGTGATTTCTTAAATAAATCTGCAATTTATAACGCTAACATGAAAATAATACGTAGTTTATGGTACTAGTGTCTTTGCATTGACATCGAGAACCAATGGTTATCCATTGGTAAAAAATACAATTTTAATCACTAAATAAATTAGGGCTCAGTCACAAGTGTTATCAGATTGTAAACGATCTATGTCTATTCTAAAATTTAAAGCTTCTTTGATTTACTTATAACTCCACTACAAAGGGAATGTACATTATGTAATATACATCACACTATGTATTTACATCACTAGTTTAAGTATAAGGAATCACTGCCATCGTAAGTACCTATATTAAAAGAAAGTAAAGGACGAAGTAGAACACAAATAACGAAAATAACAAAAATTCGACCGAATTTCCACAATTTTACCTCTCACGTAATAATCTCTCTCGGGTGATAAACTGGTTTAATTCGATAGCTATTTCGCTGGATATTTTAGTCGATGTATATCAGTTATTGAATTAAACTACCACAGCGACTATGGTACAAATGGCACCGGGATGCACGATAACGCTTTAAAATATATAAAGGTCCGCTTACAAGCTCAAGCTTCACCCGCTTATTTGCACAAATGAACGTGTCGATGGCAAAATACCCTTTACAAACACTAACGTATTTTATTAATTTATGCGTCTACACAAACTTCATTTGGGCAAGTAAACGCGCGGTAAAGCCTGCGCCGTATGGACGGTGCTTGAAATAAGAAAGTGAGACTTTAGAATATCCTCGTAATAAGCAAGCTTAGGAGCGATGCCACACAGGCTACGTTACAATTTCAAAGCACCGACCGAAGATGCCACAAGAGCAATGCGGTGTCGCAACGCAACGCCCCCGCTTCCATACGCACAGCAACACCCCTCTCCGCTTCGTCTTGGTTCCTTTGGTTGGTGGTTTGGTTTGGTTCCTTGTCCGATGTGCACGCGTTCCGTCACCGCGCGCAGTTTCAACGCACCATGTGGCATATAGTTCTAATTTATATGTGGTACACGCACACACTCATGAACCCCGCACTAGGGAAACCATGTATCACAGGTGCCATGGACACACAAATATACAACCACAAATGACTCACGAGAGAAATAAATGTAGGCTATACAAAAATTTCTTCCGATCCGGGAATCGAACCCGGGTCTGACGGGGTACAACGCAGAGTCACCGATCAAGTGTTGCAATCCCGACGCAACATATCGTGTGACCTCGCTCTAATGTGTAACGCTTTTAGTTGATACTTACTAAATTTGAAATTGAATTGGTTTTAAACTAAAATCACGTAGAAAGCTAATGATCTAAACAGATAATACACAGACTATGTTCCTTTCTTTACATACATAGGGTACTACTAGTTCTTGATAATATAAAGTGTCAGTGGGTAGATAACATGGATGCAAATATCATGTATTTTTTTATTAAGAATGGTGATGTTCTGTGTAATGGAAAGTGTAAACTACTGAAATGTACAATACATTTTAGTAGTGTGCACAATTGGCACCTTTGGTGTAATAAAACCACATCTGCTAAATAACAAATACTACAAACGAAATTTGTCGACAAATTTTTTAAGCTTAAATAAGAGAGTTATAAAATTTCACATAGACATAATTTGTTTTATTTAATATATAATATTTTATATTATTAACTTTCATGTGATAAAAGCCTCTAACGTATGTGGCTTTTGTATACCAAGGGTCATTGTTAATGGTACGATATATTTCCGGATTTTTCAATACATCGCAGAATTCTAAAACTTACTAAGTTACAATTTTCATTAACTGTATACATATCGACTGAGGGATTAATTAATAGTCCATACTCTACTATGCTCTTTATCAGAATTAGTTACGTGGGAAAAGCTCACAATAATTCTGCCCTCCTTATCATAATTAACGTAATCGACATTTTTAGCGGAATTGAGTTATTCACTTATTTAAAATCGGTGAAACGCGATTTTATATTATTATAGATGTATAACCCTATCTATGTATATACATATATATATATATATATATCTGTAATGAACATTTTTGAAAGAAAAGAAAACTTTAAGACATTGGCAATGTCTGGAAAGTTACCAAAATGCAAATGCGTTAGTTATAACAAGGAAGTCAGAAAATTACATTTGGACCTTTAAATGTACGCACTATTTTTCATATCGTTAGTAGACGAAGTAAGTTCTTTAAATTCCTGCAATACTAGTGTTTGTTCAATCGGTCAGTGGTAATGCGAAAGCTTCCCAGGACGTCGCGGTGGTGCGCTCTCGTATTCGTAGTAGTTGGACTGCGGTCGGGCCCCGCCCTCTCTACAAGAGCGCTGTGAGTGGTAACCACCCGATCCTACTCGACGACTGTGAACAAAATGTATTTTTAGTCCTACATATAATCACACTTTATTGAAACAGAAGTAGAACATTGACTATGGACATATATGTAATCACTGTGACATATATTTTACCAGATGTGTTATAAAGGTGCAATAATATGACTAAAATATGCGCGTGCAATTGGAAATTGGTGGGAGGAATTGTATAACTATATTTTACAAACAAGTACATACGGTCACATGATCACTACAGCAGAAGTATTTCTACTGGTGATTATGACCATATGATCGCACCTCTTTGTAACATCGTTTTTGATTAGGTATTGAAAAGAAAACTTTACGCAACTGAATATCTAAGGTATCAAAGAGACCTTAGATATTCATTTGCGTACTCACGATAACTCACAATAAAATACACGGTAAAGAAAAAAAATAAAACTTCTATCATCATAACACGAATAAAGTTTTTTCTGCAATCTTTGAAAAATATTGTTTTTAATGTAAATAAAATAATGAACAACTAATGTTTCGGGCCCTTTACAGGTCCCATGGTCACGGCAGACTGGTCATGGAACCTGTAAAGGGCTCGAAACGTTATTTTGTTTAAAAAAACATACACATATATGCGATTTAGATCCGAAAACAAGTAGTTTCCAATGTGTAACAATCGCGATAACCTAAGAACTAAATATTCTAGAAACTCTTCGGTTTTACCAAATATTTCCTATAGGGCTAATAAAACTTCATTTCCTAGAGTATGTTATATACTTATCAAACTCACTTCTACGTGAGACATCCTGCAACTATTGTATCTCTACAAAGAATATAGTAGTCTAAAACATTCTCATTCTAACTTATCTATATTTAGCAATACGGAAGACATAAACTAGGAACTGGGCGCTAATAACAATCATTTAACTACAATAGGCATGCTATGCATGAGACACGTAAGGTACTCTTAATTACCCTATGTACATAATTTAAGATGTGCTTAGGTTTACAGCAGAGTGTTTGTCTATCTATCTGCCTCTTTATCGTGCCTGCGACCTATCACAAGTTAGAAACGTGATATTGTTTCTCCGAAAATCTTTCGGCGAATATTGAATAGATTTAATTTCATTTGGCCAAAACTATGCAAGCGCTGCAGTCACTCTGCAATTCACAATACTTACCTAACCTATCTGAGATATTTCAATATTGTTTCGAGCAGCCTAAAATTCTTCTAGTTGTTTATGTAGATACAATTTTATCTAAGAATAATTATTTAACCAAAATTCAAATTATATAGAAAACAAACAGTCGACTAAACATGAATTGACCAAGCAGACTTGTGTTAAAATAATACAATTATGTATGTGTAGTAATAATTCTAATAATAGTCTCTCGGTGAAATAATACGTCTATTATAAGATATTTCTGCATTACAAATTGATGCCAAAGTAGTCAACGCACTGATGAAAAGAAGTGATCGGTATAACTAAATCCGGAACAAAGTAATTCGTATTTGTGATAGGTTACTAGCAAATATCCATTAGTCAGTTTTGTGCATAACAATCAAGTCAATAACGTATTGACCATTAATACTAATCAGCAGTTATTTGTATAGAAATCTTGCGAAGTTTTTGCGTGTCCTAGGTTTATTCCACAGCAAATATGTAAATAAGAACCCGGTCTTTTGGAGTTATTCCCTTCTGATCCCTTAAAACCGATCCCCTGGTGGATCCGTTTTATTTTATATTATTTACTATTTCCATTGGAACCCCTACGCAGGGGATCAAGAATAAATATTAATATTTTATTCCCACCTGATACCTTGGTACTTCCGAGCTTATTCTTGGTAGGTACCGTGGTACAGTCAACAAGAAAATGTATTTATATATATATAAATGTGTCAATATTAATGACCTGTAACAGAAAAAAAAGTCTGTGATAATTATAACATTTGATCACGGTTGCCCAATAAAGGAATATTTGATTTTAAAACTTCCTTTTCTCGCGACTGTACTTACCTTACAAATACAATGAGGGGATCTGTTGAGAGTTGCATAATACAGAGGGGATCAGTTCGGACTTAAAATTGGCGGTGGATCAGTCGTAGGGGATCAGGCCGAGGTCTTTTTGTAGACATAAATGTTTTACTGTTGTTAAATAAATAGGTACTACACTATATATGTAGTAGTGTAGAGAAGTCACAGTCTTTCAAATAAAGAAATTGACAAAAATCTGTAGATAACTGAACGCGTGTATTTCAAGTTATTCTGATACCACAATTCTATTTGTAAAGCAAAACTGTTTTTACTAAATTGTGTATTTTCATGTCCTCTATGTCAAACAAAATTTACGGAATTTATGATTCTACGTGTATACCTATATTATAACTAATGAATGACGTACGTTCATAATACTATGATGTCATGTCAACAACGTGGTGCATATGGCAAGCTCCATTTTTACAATAAGCGTACCTTGGTAAGTAGTTAAGTTCAATTGTGCAACAAACATACTAATTAACATAAAGGACACAAGGAAATATTACGCAGCACATGCATCTTACCGGTGTCAAAGGTGAACGGAGAAGCAGGAAAAATACAGTCTATGGTTAATCGTTAAACAACCTTTGACTTTTACGTCGATTACTTAATTGCCTATTTGATTGTAAGATTTTACAGAATTAAACCCAAAGGTGTAAATTATTTACGTATATATGCACGTTTATATATTACTAATATTTATTGAGTTACTTATTTAGTGGTTAGGTCATGCACAAGTTGTTATTTTTATTGTTAGTCATGTGGCGTTAAGCTAGATAAGCCCAGTATTATTATATTTTAATTGATCATCATTAGGAAACTTGCATGTTCACACAACTCTTAAAGCATGTTTGGGTAATTTTCAGCTCAGCTCCTCTATCTAATTTCGGCGGCAATTTTGATTATTTAAATATTGTAGAATATTATCATGAAGTATTATTTAATATTCGAGTGTAGTAACCTGAAACATTATTTAATATTCGCATCCCTCATGGAAGAATGGCATAATGGCATGAGTTACGTCAAAAACGTTTATTATATTATATATTATTAATTAGATACAGAATAATTTCAGTACAGAGTACTAAACAAACCGGCATCAAAACTCATTCATCTCCTAGTTTGCCACACTTAGAGGTGGAATATTTTCTTCGAATTTAAATGGGACCACGCCTGAAGTACCCTCTTTCTAACAAAAAAAGTCATGAAAATCGGTTCACAAATATCGGAGTTATCGCGTAACATACATACAAAAAAAAAACATACAATCGAATTGAGAACATCCTCTTTTTTAGTCGGTTAAAAATATAACCCAATATTGTAGATAGAGTTACAAGAATTGAAAAGGATGTAGGTTATAATTTTCTGTATCTAATGAAGCAATAAACATTTTTGACATAACTCCACTTATGCCATATTTCCATGAGGGGTGCGATTTACGATAATATTCTCAAATACTTAAATAATAAAAATTGCCACCGAAATGAGGTAGAAAAACCTAACCTGAAAATTACCGGTTTAGTGTCCAAGCGGCATTGGAATGTTTGATTTCCACTATAATAGTCTTAAATGTTTGTTAGAGACACGTGTAGAATGGGGTTATTATATGTTATGATTAAAACAAAACTTTCATGATCAATCGATCATTTCAGAACCTTGTAATAGTGGGGAGATTACATCGCTGTACATTGGCGTTTGGCAGTGGCGAAACGGGAAACCCGAGAAAGTACATACGTTGCGCTAGAGTTTGTATTACCTCTCCTCTTCGGCCTTGGCACGTTCTCGCTGCACATGCACCTGACGACGCATTTGACCGATTTGGACTTCGCTTAGCTTCTCTCGGCGGGCGCTGAAATTAACACTATTGTACGCTAGAGAAAAAAATCTAACGTAAAAAACGCGGTTGACTGATGCGCGTAATTTGATTCAAACTACTTAAAACACGTAATTACAGTCATCAGCACGCTGGGATGTACACATAAGATATTTTAACTCAGCGTTACTTACTGACAAAGCGTAGTAGAGCGAAATGTGTAGTTGACTGTACACACAGAGTTATGGATGGAAACAAACTTTATATTTTTAAAGCAAAGTTATGGACGCGTTAATACAGTCGCTTTTATAGTTTATTTACAAATTACTTTTGGAGCTCAAATGAATTTCTAATTGAGGTCGAAAAGTAGTATAGTGATTTAGTATAATGATATTAGTAAAGTACAATGAGTAAATTATCTAAGTGGCAATGTTAGTGACATCTGTAGAACAAATTACATAGGTAATTGAATTATATTGCGCAACATGTCGAGTGTCAAAATTCCATCACGTTCTTTGCGAACCATTTTCATAGCAATAAAAATTATCAAATAATGAAAAAAAAAACAGAGCAGGATTTTCTGGTCACAGTTTTTATACGATTTAGTTAGTACATTTTAAGTTTGGTGATTATTTGTTATCTTTTGAAGCTGATGGCTTTTTTAACCAATGCTCTTTATATAAATAAATAAGAAGATAAGGCCAATATAATTATTTTTAATTTTAATAGAATAAAATATGCATCTGCCTAGAATTGAAGTCGTTTTGTTTTTGGCTCATCGATTATTTGTTACCTATTTAAGCTGATGGGTTTTTACTCAATGCTTTATAAATATAAATAAATGATAATGACAGAATCTTACTTTCAAAGGTCAATATTTTAATATAATAAAATATGCATGTGATTAAGAATTAAGTCGTTTTGTTATTTGCATCTTTTATTTATGCAAATAATTGGCGGGTCCATAGTATGAATACCTCCGTAGGATCAATTAATAGTTCATTTACTGTAAATACTGTTTCTGTGTATTTGGTTTCAAGTAAATAGTTAGAAGAACCGATAATACAGTCGCTATATCTTCTCAGAAATGTATGTAACCTGCTATGTAGTGTTTCTGTATAATGATGTTTAATTGCTGGTACTAAGTAACTTTTATGTAACCATTACAAGAATTGTCTTAATACGTTAGTGGTCAAACGAATAACAATAATTTTTTTATTAAATTGCAAACACACAAAAATATGAAACTAACATTTTTAACACAGCATTTCTATAATCACTATGAACTTTTACGTTTACGACTTTCTAAATTTATATACAGTGTGTTTTTTAAATGGGACAGTATGAGGAAATCCGAAACTATAGGAAATATAAGGAAACTGTCTTGGAATCGTCAATAATTTTTTTGGTCAAGCGTGTGATGTACATTAAAAATGAATAGAATTAATTAATTTTTTAAAGTCTGGTCGACTCGGTTTCATGTAACGATAATTTCATTGTATTGGGAGAATAAATTGGGACAGCAGAAGTTGATCCTATTTAATATATGTATTACCTACATATTTTCTAACAAAGTTTACCTGTACCGAATATAGTTTCGGATTCCCCCATGCTGTCCCATTAAAAAAAAAACACACTGTAGATATCTAAATAGTTACTATCGAAATCGCGAACACCTACAAACCTCGATAGCTTATAAGACAGATATTTAATTGGAAATAGTTATCTGATGTTTAGTGGGCTGCCAGTTTTTGATGAAATAATAAAAAGGACATTTTCGACTACGAAAATTATGAACTTAAAAGAGTCTACAAGTGATCTACAGTCAGCTGTCGACTACTGCTGACGAAAACAAAATCAAAATAACTAAGAATTGAGAACCTCCTCTTTTTTATTGAAATCGGTTAAAAATAGTGCTGTCTACTACTTCACTGATTCGCTCAATAGGTCGTCAAAGTAAATTAATTATATCTAAATTAATAAATAAATTAATTATATTAAATTAAGTATACACTAAATGTAAACAAGTTATTGTTCAGCAGATTAATAGTCAAACATTTTTAAAGTTTATTTTTAACTGATTCTGTTTCTGTATTTTTGTTACCTAATTGAGAATTGAACCAATCACATCAGTATACAATAACATGGCAACATTATTTTTCAGAGTCGCTGTCGTATGTTTTGTTATCACTAATTTTTAATTAATCCGACTCATCCTAATTGTAAGCACGTTTCCTTGTGATTTACCGTTAATCACAATGTCACGTCGTCAAAGAAAGTTATTTGTTTTGATGGCAATAAATAACTGGAGTATCATAACACAACAATGTATAATAAATTAAGCTGGTACTCACTTTAGATTCTGTTGAATTTCATCGTAATTGACGTAGTGACCTTGTGGACCATATGCACTGTCTATTGCCTGTTATAAAGAAAACCAGTAATTAGAAATATTATTTTTATTCACCCTCTCCTGAGGTCATCGCACTGAATCTTAAAACCTCTATTCGAGTCCAACAACCAGTTGCATACATTCGTTGATGACAGTAGTTTGTTACCGAAACGTGATTATGAATTAATACAATAAATTTACAGATAACAGAAAAAAAAGCCAACTATCCACCAGAATAGAAAGAAAATGTTTTCTATACATCTATTGAGTCTCATTTTTTCTCATCTCCTTTCTGATTTAATGAAATCTGATTGTTTGTTTAATGTCATCTCTTATACCCATTTTGGTGAATAACGGACTTAACAAAAATAGGCATAACAGAGTAGGCTAACCTGCGCTTGGTGCGTAGGCTGCATACGTGCGGGTGGGGCGCGGTACGGCGGTGCGTTGTGGCGTAACGACTTGTGCGACGATCGCTCGCCGCTGCCGCTGCTCTGCCGCGAGTGCTGGACATCAGGCCTGGTGGTCGCAATTCACAAGTGTAAATTCTGAGCAAGTCTACCTACCTACATCTACTTTTGGGCACGTCCTACGCACCCGCATAAAGAGCCACTTATCTATTTCTGCCGCCAAGCAGTAATTTGAGCATTACTGCGTTCCGGTTTTGACGGGTAAGGGTGTCACTTGTCAACTTATGTTTAAAGGCGACAGGCGTATTGGCAAAGCCCCTCAGATCTTTACGACTTAAAGCTCTGAGTGGCGCTGCAACTACTATGGACAGGTGTGTAGCTAACACCAGGCGCAGGACTTGTTCATCCCGTCACTTGATATCATAAAAAAACACGTCTGTATACTGACCCACATTCTTTCTTTGTGTAGATTTTTTGTACCAGACAGCCACACCAATTACTTGGTTACAAACTAGAGAGTTATCTGTACTTTTTGTACTAGAGCAACGGAATTCCCTTGGGGGCTACCTAGAACACAACCAATTTAGAAAAGTTAATTTCTCAAATTGGTTTTACTGGGAATTGTACCCGGGAACTCCTCATCCAGCACCCACTATAACCGTTGAGCTACCCCAGTTGTCAGTGTACCCGCCAGTAACGGTAACTATTAAATGTCAAATATGGTTGATGCAAGGGTCAACAGGAAGGCTCCTACAATTCATTTTAGGGACAGTAAGGACTGACGGAACTGTAACCACAACTAATAAATAAGTATAATAATAACAAATAACGCACACTCTAATAGCCCCGCATTGGGGAAACCCTGTGTCGAGGGTGCCATGGACACACACAGAGACAACCACAAATTACACTCAAACTCACGAGAGAAATAAATGTAGGCCATACAAGTATTTCTCCCTATCCGACAATCGAACACGGGACCTCTGCGTGGCAAACCAGTATGGTAACCGTTCGGCCACGGAGGCAGTTCTTCCACAATACTTTATCGTCTAACAGTAAAAGTATTATCTCTACGCAACTTTTCAAGGAAAAGCGTTTTACTAACTGCAATATTATGCCTATGCAGTGTTAGGTTCAATTTACATTGGCGCGAAAAGTAATTTAAACGAATTTTCATAGCTATACCATAATAAACTTTATTGTATAACGTACAAACTAAATACAAGCCAAAAAACAGGTCGCGGGTCTTTCGAAGAACTCCCGCAGCTACGGTAACGTAACTATAACTGCAATATAATTATAAAGACGCCAAATAACCAATTGTATTGAAATAATGAAAATGATTTTGTTATTTTTATATCTCTTTTCCTCTTGGAGAAAAATTGCGAAATCGCATTAAAACTAAATTTGAAACGTCTTACAAAACGTAGCATTACCAAAAGTTTGCAATACAATATCTTTGTACTCTAGTGGCCTCGATGTAACTACTATTTATAAAAATAGAAAGTATCCAATTAGTGTTATTTTGCAAATAAAACGTCTACAACGTTTTCAATATACTTAAATAGTATTTCAATATAATATCAAGTTGGTATTTAGGTCATTATTTTGAATCACCTTTGAATAGACTTCTGTAGCGTCGGTGGGTTGGCGTCATCCATCCTCTCATCAATGCGGTTGTGGCGCTCCAGCGCTTCGCGGGATAATGACTTCTCCGAAGATCTGCCAGGCTGTGATCGTCCGTAGATCTCTTGCTCAGTCTTCTTGTTCGGCTTGCCAATCCTTCAATAAACGACATGCTTCAGTTTTATGTAGCTCTAGTTATTAGATGGGTTTTAGGACATAGTTAATCAATCTGCTTTTAACGTTGGAAATGAAACTATATTTTCCGGATCTAAAATCGCTTGTAAAATGTTTTTTCAAACAAACCAATATTTCGGATTCATCGTATTTTATCAAGCACCGACGAATCAACACAAGGCTCAAGGACCTAATGCAAGATTTTTCTAATTGCCTTATAGTCAAGTAACAGTCAAAAGCATATCAAGATTTAGAACTTTGGACCGCTCTTATCGCGAGCGGTTTAGAGTTAAATTTAAATCTTAAGTGTCAAGCTTGCGAACTCTTAACCCTGTAAATAAAGTTATTATCATGTCACGGTCATTAATGAATATTTGGTATTAGCCATTGACTTACAAATAAATGGACGACGGGTCTAATACAAAAACCACGAAAAAAATGTCCCAAGTCAACCTATTCGAAATTTAAATTGTAATGTCATCGCAGTATCGCGCTGTCAGTCGAACAAATGAAGACTAAAGCGGAGTTTGGCGCTCTGTATACGATTTTAGCGCCTTACAAGCGGACCCGACGTCCATATAATTGTAAGTCAATGGTATTAGCATGATTATTTTCAATAACGAATCAAATCAAAGACTGTTTTATAATTATTTTCATCACACTTGCTCGTAAATGGTATGATTGTATGATGGCTAACTTGACTATAGTAATGCCCCAAATAAAGCCCACGGGCCTTTTTTCTTTCCATTACAGCCATGGTCGGCAAGGAGCTTTTTTAATTTGTAGCACGACATATTTTCTTACATAGGTCAGGTTCAAGTTCAAACAAGCAGGTTACTTAAAGCAAAATTAAAGCATTCGCTTAAAATGTTACATCCAAACAGAAATTTAATTGCAATTAAGCCACATACTCCTTACATACTTATTATTTTTATTAAGAATTTCTTATAATTGATTTTAATTATTGTATGTACAAAAATTTAACTAATTTTTTTTACAAAAGTGTTTTCTTTTTACAACATTTTTGTTCGAGTTGTTAGTATCTATGGAAGAATTTTTAAAAAGAAACAAAATACCCGCCTTTTGCCAAATCCATGATTGTTACGTTGTGAACCATATTTATATTGTATTTATTTCCTCGCAAATGTGATGAAAAACATTGTATGAATCAGGGATGGTAAAAAATATAAAACTCGAGTCATTAAAGCCCTCAGCCTTTGGCTTCGGGCTGCTAACAGACCCTCGTTAGTAATGTCCTATCTACTTTCCTTAATACACAATGTACTATTCAGTAGTATCAAAGAATAAAAACGCCAGTCCCAAGAGTCTTACAGTACCATACTAGTCCAGTTGCGCAAAGCATATCAAATAGGAAGTAAGTACTTACCTGAACATTGTAGACAACGACTTGAACAACGAAGGTTTCTTATGTGATAGCGACGACTGTTGCGGCGATCCCCGCACCATCGTGTCAAGGCCGTGATTGTCGTCGGTTAACCAATGCTTTAGCGCTACAAAAGAAAAAGTTTATTATTAATTCCTCCAACACAACATTAACAAGAAAAAAATGAAAATAGAAACAAAATTCTACTGGTGCAAAACAAAGTATCTACATAATTGCGCTGAATAGTGAAACCAATTATCTGGTTGAGGAGTCTCGTCATATAATTAGAATCTAGATATAGGATCATCCTGGTTAACAGCGTATTTTGCGAAAGTACAGGGTTTTCCCAAGGAGAACACCAGTTACTCGGTGAATAGATCAGTGTAATTATATAGCATACTGTATTATTACAACAACACAATGAGTACTCACGTGGATGCCCTCGCGCATAAATAGTTTCGTTGCGGGGATTCCTTTGGTTTTCTTGTATGGCCGTTTGTAAAGACTCTAAGCTGGAGGATTTTCTCATACCTAACGATGGTCCGACTTGCATGGCTAAAGGAATAATGAGAAGAAACGAGAATTAGTAGTGCAAATGTGGTGTAAATGTAGTGCATATGTATGCGTTTACTCATTTTGACGTCATAATAATAATAATAATAATAATGTTACAACCACCAGTTACCTGGTCTCCAAATAGGATCCTAGATCAATTACCTGATCTCCCTATACTATTTGTACCAAAAACAACTGAATTCCCTCTGGTGCACTTCCACAGAATACCCAGACCAGAACCAGTTTATAAAGTTCGTTTCCCAAATTTGGTCCTACCGGGAATGGGATCCAGGACCTCCTCATCCAGCGCCGTTGTGCAAACCGTTGGGCCACCGAGTTTAGTCACAGATTACTTAATAGTTACTAGGTAACAAATACATCTCTCATACAAAATCGAAAGTACCTACGCTATAATAGCCTACTAAATCTGACTAATGACACCAGTAGCAACTACGAGGAAAAAGGAACCTAAGCACGCACGCAGAGGTGAAAATAACGTTGCCCGCCGTGTGCAGTCGTGCGGAACCGAATGCTGGGGTTGTACAAGGATTGTAATGTGTATATAATACTAGTCTGAGCGCATGCACTGTCGGCGATACACTCAGCTGTAGGCACTTATCGCGTAACCTCGACGAGTGACAGAGCACTACTTTAAGGCTCATTTAGATGGAGAGAGTTTCTCGTCTCGAACATATGATTATCGAAAGGATATAAAAAACTTTCCTTGTCTAAACATTCCCGATTATCGACGGTCCACGTGAGCGATAATCGCCTCGCCTTTGAATATTGAACGTCTCCGTGTAAACAGAACTCGAAAGCAAAAATCGTATTTCGAGTTTCTGTGCCAGCCGTTTCTACTACGAATGCAGTGCACGAGGGTGTTTTGATTATCACTGCTTTTCTAAGACAAGAATTAATGAAACGAGAACGAAATAAAATTTTGGATTAAGAAATGTTATAAAATTTGAAAAAATAAAATAAAAAAATGTATATTTCTATGCAATTCCAAATCTGAATGATTTTTGCGTCATTTTGATATGTCCATAGTCAATACCGCAGTAATCACTCAACTCGAATGGCAATTCTCGCACTCAAAACGGTTCGAACCGATTTGTAGGATAATCGTATGAACTTGAAAAAATGTCATACGAGATCGTGTTTAGACAAGTCGAAACCTCGTAAGCAAGAATCTCCTTATTACATATTTATCTATGTAAACAGTCGAGGAGGCGATTAAGTTGCTTGCGAATCTCGTATGACATAATCGTAGGCGAGATTTTAGTTCATGCCTGAATGTAAACATTATGATACGATAATCTTATGGCGATTATTGCTTACGATAACCGCGTATGATTGTTCGTCACGAAGCGTGCGATAAACTCTCTCCATCTAAATGGGCCATTAGTCTCAACTAGTGTGGAGGTCTATGAAATCCTCATCACAGCTGTTCCAACTTTTGAACGTGTATCGAGAGTGGTGGCTATTTTCTTCACATTCTTATTAACGGAATCGTTATGTCATCCTAATCAAAGAAGAGAATTGTAACAAACTTACCATTAATCGCCTTCGTTTCCTTGATCTTGCGATAGGTGCCGGTCTGCTTAGCGTCCATGGCAGCATGCCTCTTCTCTGACATAGAGCGCCGGCCGACTGCGTCTCTGCTAAAGCCTGCGCCGCACTCGCTGCCCGACTCGCCACCACCGTTACCGCTACCACTGCCCCTGAGAATTAAATAAGGAGAAACTCTAGTGCAGATCATAATTGAGGCTATCAGCGCAAACGTGGTTGTGGTGGTGACAAATGATCCTAGCACATATTTTTTTCGGATGCTACTCGTAGTTTCATATAAAAAATATATAATTATATAGTGGTCATATATGATTACGATAAATATAAAATTAATTTGGCTAACTTTAAATCCCTCGTTCATTTAAATTCATCTTCTATATGCATTTCATTAACGAGCAACCTCGATTAATATCAAAACCGCTGTTGCCAAAATTCACACAATCATACGTTAAACACAATAAAATCTTTGTTAATGCTTGGTCGTAGTTTCTAATTTAAAAAGATATAACAAATTCTAGATTGTTAATATAATTTAAACTTTATCCTGTTGGCATATCGTTGAAATTTCAATTTCCTACGTTTTGATTGTATATTGCAATTTCAATCAATGTACTGCCATCTATCGGTTAATATCTGAACGACGACGAATTAGAAATGTTTACTTAGTTTTCAAAAAAAATCACCATATTGCAGCGGTATAAATGTTTACTTTCGTTTCTTGAAACAAAAAACATATTGCGATATAAACAGAGAATTTCAAATTTATTTAAATTAATTAAAATAAGACTTAACGATGATAGAAACACCACTGTGGATAATATTACACGGTGCAACTATCATTTTTGCATTCCATGTAGCAAAATGAGGCATTTTTGTACAATTTTAGAGGTTTTGCGCGAGGTAATTGACACGACCGTAACATACAATGGCGGACTGAATAAGTTAGACAATGAGGACTGTGCTGTTGGCACGTTCATTAAGCACTTCTACTGTATTTATTGTTCTGCATATTTTTAATTCGGGGGCTTTTAGGGTATCCTATTACAAAATATTTACCTCGTAGTACCATAATCTTCTTCAATAATGACATTATGGTGCGCAGGCGGCGACCTTGACATGTGGACATGGCCGTGATTTGGTCGGTAATGGTGTCCGTTTGTCATTGGACCATCTGTCTGCGTAGCCATGTAATAACTCTCGTTCCTAAGCCCGGTCAGTCTATCTATCACAGGATTCCAACCATCCAAACGACTCCACTCAAAGCTATCTCTCTTTGGATCATGTGGTACTGTATCTTTGTCTCTTTCTAAATACCCTTTGCTGTCATCCGATTGGTTTGACACCCAACTCGTGTTGTTGTTTATCGTTACTATCGAAGCATGTTTCTTGCTCCCTCTTACATCGTGGTTGTCAAAACCTCGTTCGTTACCTTCACGGTTATTATGGTTGAAGTTGTCTAACGATTTATTTTCTTTATCGGTTGAACCAGAATTGTATATGACTGTGTTGTAGTTCTGAGAATTTTCGTTTGAGTTGCCGGTGTCGTTTCCATTGGGTGGAGTGTCGTCTTTCCACCTTGCTAGACTGTCCATGCTGTCTGTAATGGCAAAACATTATGATAATACGTTAACTCTTAATACACCAATGTTACCAAGGGTACAAAGAAGTTTGATTTATAGTTTGATGAAACTGAAATTCACTATCTGATATTATGATTTTAAATTCGTAGTTTTTGCTCTTGAATTTTATTTGCAACAAAAGAAAGTTACCAGTCCGTCTTGCGATCGTAAGCGAAATGCTGCCGTGAACGTGCGGACGAGAGTGCAACAAGGCGCGGCGAAGTGTCTCCATCGCTTCAGCGTTCGACTGACCAACTAGTGTCACTCCGTTCACGCTTAGCAGCTGGTCGTTTGTGTGCAGTCTGAAATAATAATACAACTTCAATATTGCGACCACGACAATGTCTCAACATAGGTAAAAGATTATAGGAGGCGCTTTAAAGATACCTTTTTTTCAATAGGGTATTTTTTAATATTTTTATGCCGTAAGTAGTCGAGGTTATTTCAACGGAAACTTTGAATATTATAAAGAAGCAGGTAGAAAGAAAAAGCATTCATTTGATTACCACAAACGACACCACACAAGGAAAAAACATAATAACTACAAAAGAAAATTATAAACAAAATGGTTAAATTAAATTAAAACACAATTACTTACATAAAGATAAAAACATAAGTAAAAAGTTCTTTACTAACTGATATTTATTATCTTTATTTTATATTTTTATTATCTATAACTCGTATTTGTTGGAAAATGTAATGCGTAACTAAAACTTGATTTTCAAACAGAACCCTAAGTCATATTCGGCTCTATATGTAGTTCACCAACTAAATTCTGAATTAAAAAATCTTTAATATATTTAACTAACCTGCCATCTCTAGAAGCTGCGCCACCATGCAATACTGACTTGATGAAGATGCCAAGGTCCTGTGGGTCTTGACCAACTGTGACCTTGCCCTTTACGCTTATACCGAGGCCTGCCTTCTCGGAGTCATGGACAGGTACGTCCAGTCGAAGGATTAGACGGTTTCGAAGACCTAAAATCTGTAATATGACATATTTTAATTGAAACTTCAATATGTGTAATTTCTTTTCAAGATATATGAAATACGTAAGATGTGTAACTAAATATTACTTTACTACGATAGTGTAACAAGAAGAAATATTTTGTCATTGTAAATAAAAATGTAACTATTTTGTTTGAATTTTTTTTGGCTTTTATTTTTAATTATTCCGCGATCTTTTAATTTACAACCACAGGGTATTTTAAAAGTAAAAAATTATCTTATTAAAGTAAATAAATACAAAAAATACTTACAAAAAAAAAAAAGGGTATTTTAAAAGTAAAAAATTATCTTATTAAAGTAAATAAATACAAAAAATACTTACAAAAAAAAAAAAGGGTATTTTAAAAGTAAAAAATTATCTTATTAAAGTAAATAAATACAAAAAATACTTACAGAATTCGAGGAAGAATTTAGAGCCTCCTGCAACGCACTATCTGCTGACTGGTCTTTCTTGAGAAGTTCATCTTTAGAAGCACTTTTCGGTATCCTTCCTCGTATAGAGTTATTCGTGCTGTTCTGGTTGATAGCGTGTACCATACTCGAAACACGGCCTTCGGGCTTACTGTCGTCAGACTTGTTAATAACTATGCTATTTGGTGATCCTATGGGCTTCTCCACATATTTTGTTGGACTTTGTTGGGGTTCCACTCTCTGTCAAATAAATATAAAAATTAACAGAGCGATCGAACTAATTAACCGTATCTGAATATTTAATTAGAAATTAACCTCATATTAATGAACTTAAGATTCTCGTTTCAATTGTTTCCTGACCAATTACGGTATTAATAGAAAGTTCAACTACGCAAGGTTGATTTATATTATAAGCAGTTTGATTTTGATTAATTTGATCGCTTCTGAGTCTTTTGATTTGAGTATATTTTACGAATTCTAAGAATTATATTTCAAACGATTAGCTTCCTTTTGTTGCGTGTCGCAGGAGTCAAGAAGACACAAGTAATTGTCATGCACTGAAGCGAATTTTATTTCTAGTACTAAGTAGAATTAAATTGTACAGATAAAAACAAGCTCAGTTTAAGACTAAGGGTCGTATTCCAGAACTCTACTCATTGCTCAAGTCATGACATGAGTATGATTTAAAGCACTAGAAATCATACTCAAGTTCTTGCTATTAGAGTCGTATTTCCAGTGCTTGAAATCATACTCAAGTCTGCTCAAATCCTGACTTGAGCATTGAGTACAGTTCTAGAATACGACTCTAAGGTTCGTATTCCAGAACTCTACTCAATGCTCGAGTCAGGATTTGAGTATGATTTAAAGCACTAGAAATCATACTCAAGTCTTAGCTATTACGGTCGTATTGTCAGTGCTTGAAATTATACTCAAGTCCTGACTTAGTGTCAACTCTATTTATAAGAGCATACCAGAGCATTATAAGAGCATTCCAGAGTGTAAATATGCAGCGTACTTTTGTTAGAACTAAGAGTTCTGTGTCTCATTGAAAACAGTGTGCGTACAACTACTAATATTGACTGGCGTCTAATGAAAATTCTTCATAACTGGGGGTCTACTCCCGTTTTCCGTCCGACATTCATCGAAACAATAGGGAATCGGACAATTTTTCAGAAAGTGTCTAGAATTAACTAAAATATATATGTACAGCCATGAAAAATAATATTTTATTAAAATAAAGCTTAATAGTCTCTAAAATGTGCTAAAACTACGTTAAAATTTAAATAGAAACAAATTGGCGCCCAAACGTAACAAAATGTCAAATTGAACGCGTGACGTCATTTGTAGGTAAACAAGCTACGAAATCAAAGGCAAGGTGTTATTTTAAAGTTTTTGTGAAGTTTGAAGTCGTTATGGAAAGGAAAACATATCGTTGGTGTGTAGTACCTCAATGTAGGAATACTTCTTTAATTACCCCAAATAAACTATTTATTGATGTACCTCGAAAATCCGACATACGAAAAAAATGGTTGGTCCTAGCACGACGAAATGTCTGTAAATTCAGCGATATACTTTTGTGATGATCACTTCGACGTAAGTACACTTTATGCAGTGAGTGATACATAGATCGAAGCATGTGTTAATAATTATATAGTAAATGTTGTGTTATATTCACTAGTGCCTTTAATTATGTAATGTAATAATTATGTATTCGAATTTTAGCTGCCGAATGATATGGAAAATTACATGCGATGGAAGGACTGTATTACTATCGATTTGAGGGCTGGGAGGGGGGTGGGGGGAAGGGGGACCTTTCGTGCAAAGTTTCAAAGTTAGGACGTTAATAGTTTTCGATATATCAATTTTTGAAAATTCGAAAAAAATAACCTCAAAAAATCATGTTTTCGCACCAAAGAGTAAACCCCTCCCTCCGAACCCCTGGCGGGAAAAATCTACCCCCAGACCCTCCCCCCTGTCTCCACTTCCTGTGTTATATGAGAAACTAAATTTCCCACCTCTCAAATCATGCGATGTAATGTACAGTCCTTCCATCGCATGTAATTTTCCATATCATTCGGCAGCTAAAATTCGAATACATAATCATTACATTACGTAATTAAAGGCACTAGTGAATATAACACAACATTTACTATATAATTATTAACACATGGTTCGATCTATGTATCACTCACTGCATAAAGTGTACTTACGTCGAAGTGATCCTCACAAAAGTATATCGCTGAATTTACAGACATTTCGTCGAGCTAGGACCAACCATTTTTTTCGTATGTCGGATTTTCGAGGTACATCAATAAATAGTTTATTTGGGGTAGTTATAGAAGTATTCCTACATTGAGGTACTACACACCAACGATATGTTTTCCGTTCCATAACGACTTCAAACTTCACAAAAACTTTAAAATAACACCTTGCCCTTGATTTCGTAGCTTGTTTACCTACAAATGACGTCACGCGTTCAATTTGACATTTCGTTACGTTTGCGCGCCAATTTGTTTCTATTTAAATTTTAACGTAGTTTTAGCACATTTTAGAGACTATTAAGCTTAATTTTAATAAAATATTATTTTTCATGGCTGTACATATCTATTTTAGTTAATTCTAGACACTTTCTGAAAAATTGTCCGATTCCCTATTACTGTCAAATAAGTAATACTCGACCAAATCGAAAGCCAATGTCTAGTATGAAGGTTCATTCGCATTATGTATCTTTCAATATCGTCGAGGATTACTTATTTGACAGCTACTGCTTCCGTGGCCGAACGGTTGCCATGCCTGACTGCCACGCAGAGGTCCCATCAGGTCGATTCTGAACCTTACGATAACTCTGTTGTCGACCGATTCGATTAGATATCTTACGATTTCTCTATATATTTATTCACAATAACCGAACCGAAATGACGTCACACCCGTACGAATTACTTGTACTTCTCGACCGGCAAAGACTACAAACGTTATTCAGAACACAGTTATCGAATGAAAGTTACCGAACGTCCTTTTGTTTACAAAGCAAGAATGTAATATAAAAATCTTTTATTATTTTAAATAAAATTTTGATTTTGTTCAATTTTATTAATTTATTTTAATGCGAGACTAATGCGTTCCTATATTTTAGGCCTTTAGTCTTAAAAATATATATAAAAGGATTTCATTTTTCTTATAATCTATATTCGCCGACTAACTCCGTAAACGCTGTGGGATAACGACATCGTATCCGAATCCGAATCGAACGTTTTAACTCGAATATTCTGAATAGCTCGGAATGCGCCCTTTGATTCAAGAACGATATCCAATCGAACTATTCGGTTAAGATATCGAAGAGTTCTGAATCGGGGTCCCGGTTCGATTCCCGGGCCGGGAGAAATATTTATATGGCCTACATTTATTTCTTTCGTGAGTTTGGGTGTAGTTTGTGGTTTGGTGTCCATGGCACCCGCGACACAGGGTTACCGTAGTGCGGGGCTATGTTGAGTGTTTGCGTTATTATTATTATAAATAAAATTTTAATTTTTTTTAAAGCAATTGCTTCGGACGGATGACGGAGAACGAGAGTAAACCCCCTGTTTAAGACGTTAGATAAGACGTTACATAAGATCGCGTAATGAGTTGTGGCGACCATACACACTCCGCCAACGCAATAATCTTCAAAGTCAAAGTCAAAGTCAAAGATTATTTATTCCATAGGTAAAATAAATTTACACTTGAAAACGTCACATTTAAGCTACTGCTCGTTCTCTACGCTGACCTCCCTGAGAAGAAGGAGCAAGAAACTCTAGGGATTGCTCTTTGCAAATAAACTTAAATGCTATGGAATACTTTGAATCAAATTTGTGTGGATTCTGGAGCCATGTCGTCTTTCCATACATCTTTATCTAACACGTAGTCTTCAATTTTGTAATATGATTTTTCGATCAAAATATTTTTAATGTAGTTTCTAAACTTAGGAAATGATAAACTTAATATATGCTCCGGAATCTTATTGTAAAAACGTATACAGTTCCCCATAAAAGAGTTGTTTAGATTGGTTAAACGAAATCGTGGTACCATGAGTTTGGACTTAGCTCTAAGGTTAATATTACGGATATTTTCTTTCTTATTTAAATTATGTATATTTTTACGGGCATATAAAATATTTGAGTAAATGTACTGTGAATGACTTCATTACGATTAACACAATAGGAAATGGAAGAACGATTTTTTTGCAAAAATACCGGTAACGACATAATAATACAACTAATAGACTGACTGACCTGAGTCCTGTTGGGCACAGTTCTCTCGACGACAATGTCTACGGTGGAGTCAGTGGGTGTGTTCCGAAGTAACGTGACCACTTGTTGCTGTGTCAGCCCTGACACTGATATGTTGTTAACGGACACGAGCTTATCGCCTGCACGAAGTCGTCCGTCTGTTACTGCTGCTCCCTGAAGATATCAATAAATATCTATGGTACAATATGTTTCCGTATATACTCCAATAGTACATACGAAATAGTAGGCATGTTTTCATGGAACTTAAGTAACAGATTTAAGAATGTTAGTCAGTATAGTCAAATACAAAAGTTCACTCTGTTTTTCATATTATAATAGCATCATAACATTAAGAAACAAGCTTTTTATGATCAGATAACTCTAAACACACATCAATTTAAGGATCGATCGTGTCGATACACAGATATAGGAACCTTAAAGTGGAATTTCTACATAATGAACTCTAGCTCTAAACGAATGTGTATTAAGGTAAAGTAAAACCCACAAAGCCACACAAAAATCGGTTTTCGACATTACAAATAAGAATTCAACTTGTTTATTTAATTGATAGTGAAAACAGAATCCTGAAGTGAAATATGAAGCTCGAAACACGACTGACAAACCATGACTCGAGTTTATTTTACAGCAAGAGAGTATATTTTATTTCTCAACCAATTCCCCTTAACCAAAAAGAACCAATTCCCCTTAAGTATAATGTTCCAAAAGTGATCATAAAGTACCTTTACACGGGCAATTTTTACCTTCATATGTTTACCTTTTTACACATTTACCTTCAAATATTCTTTCCTCAATTCGCTTAAATATTATTTAATTAAAATATAAAAAACTTTACATAATCAACTACTTTTGAAATTAACTGTACGTACATTAGCGTGTTAATGATGTAAATTAACCGTGTCGTGTAGATTAACCTAGATAAACCAAGACATATAGCCTTAATCTTACCTCAGTGACAAAACTCTTTATGGAAAAAGAATACCAAAGTCGAATTTGATAATTGATAATTAATTCATGCCTCTTAGGCACAAAGGAATATCAAATGGTAGCCGGAAGCAATGAATCTGTTGTAACGACAGTCGTAACAACGATGACGACTATTTTAAAGAGTTAGAGCGATGCCGCACGATGCGTTGCGTCCGCATTATAATGCCTGAATGGTGACTTTTTTTAATGATATCAAGTGACGGGACGAACAAGACGTGCACCTGATGGTAAGCTACACGCTTGTCCATAACAGTTGCAGTGTCACTAAGAGCTTTAAATCGCCAAGATCTGAGAGGCACTGCCACTGTGCCCGTCACCTTGACAAGTCCCACGCGCTTGTAATTTCACCAGCACCCTTCACGTTGACGCACCGTGACGCTGCGGTATACTGTATATAAATTAGAACTACATGCCACGTAGTGCGTTGAAACGGCGCGCAGCGGCGACGGAACGCGTGCGCATCGGAGAACGAGCAAGAAGACGAAGCAGCAAGGAGGGGTGCTGCGTGCGTAAGTAAAAGGTAATTATCTTGCATCGCAATCGGCTTTTGGAAAAGGATTATGAATGTAGCAACGTGCAAGCCATCCTGCAATCCTGTAATGCGTCCTGCGAGACTCCATACGTGGGCCTTACACAGGATAATGTGTGATCAGTTTCCTGCTTGCGCGACGGACTGCCATGTAGGTAGGGCCGTTTAAGCGGGGCGTTACGTACGTTGCGATCACGAGCTGATCGTGTATGGCACTCGGTGCGTTGAAATTATAGTTTGCAACGACGCAACGCTTTTAAAAGTCGACGTTAAATACACTAACAAAGTTTGTACTTCCGTTTTGTTATAACGTCGGTAGATGTAAAGACAGAAACGAATTCAACTTATTAGCTTTAATCGGTCGATGTTTTGATTAAAATGAATGATGTTGGTTTTTTACTTATGTGCTTTAGTTTGCCAAGCCTAAATTTATACTAGTACTTTATTCTAATAAAGACTTTAGAAATTGCAATAAATATAATTCCTGAAAAAATTGTAACAAAATAAACACGAAAGAAAGAGTACTTGTGTCAACTTAGAGTCGATAGTTATTTTTTTTTCCTAAAGTTATGAGTGACAAACAGGCACTTTATAAACAAGCATTGACCACAATCTGACCTGAAGGTTAGTGAAGATATGGTCGAAGATGGCGCACGCTTGCCTAATCTTCGCCTTGAAAACAGATTTGCCTTGACAGGCAACAGATCAGCAGTCAAATAATTAAACACTATCTGTTCGCCAGAAATAGACTCGACACAAAATTACCTACTTCATTCAACATTTGAAAGCAGTCAATTGGAAACACGGAAGTAAATGTTTGGTCTGTGTTGAAACCTTATCTATAGTTATTCATAAAGTTATTTAACAGAGATACTAATAAAAGAGATGCACAAAATTAAATGAAAGATAGTTTTAATATGATTTGTTTTTAACTGACTTCAAAAAAAGGATGAGGTTCTCAATTCGTCGGTATATTTTTTGTATGTATGTTACGCGATAACTCCGGTATTTGTGAACCGATTTTCATGATTCTTTTTTATTGGAAAGAGGGTACCTCCATATTGGTCCCATTTCATTTTGAAGAAAATCATCCACCTCTAAGGGTGGCTATTCACGCATGGTCGTTCATTTTTATAAATAGCCCCTATATTTTTCTTAAGAAGCAATTATTTTAATGGTTGGTTTTGCTATTCTCCAATTCAAGGCGCTTTTTTCTCTCAATATACGTTGAGTAGTGAGAACCGATTTTTATTGTCTCCTGTGTCAAAACATGTATAGTCGCGAACTAGAGGATATTGCAATAAAACTTGGCAAATAAATGTAATTCCACGTACTTTTGAGGTCGGTTTTCTTAGTACTGTGTCAGTACAGAAATCTCAGTAGATTATTGAATTCCAAAGTCAAATTCAAAGAATCATTTAGTTTGTAAGTAAATATAAATTTACACTTGAAAACATCGCTTTTTAAGCTACTGCACATTCACTATGCTGACTTCCCTGAGAAGAACGAGCAAGAAACTCTAGGGATTGCTCTTTTCAAACAGACTTAAATGCCATGGACTACACTTTGAATCAAATTTGTGTGGAATATAGGCCCATATCGTCTTTTCATACATCTTTGTCTAACGCGGAGTCTTCAATTTTGAAATATGACTTTTCAATTAAAATATTTTTAAAGTAAGTTTTAAACTTAGGAAATGATAATTTTATATCCATATATATATTTTTATATAATATATACCCCGGAAGCTTATTGTGAAAACGTATACAGTTCCCCATTGAATAATCGTTTACCTTTGTTAATCGAAATTTTGGTACCATGACTCTGGACTTTAGAACTAAGGTTCTAAAGTTAATATTTTGGATATCTTCTTTCTCAATTAAATTATGTATATTTTTTAACAACGCAATCCACCAAACAACGCCAATGAATTATATAGTATATTACCTTAGGTAGAATATTCTTAATGTAAATAGGGCAGTGTCCTCCAGTGGGGTTGTCTCTCGTGGTAATGGTGAAGCCGAGACCTTTTTCTCCCTTAACTAAGGTGACAGCGACTGTCTGCGTGGCACCGGAGATGGGTTTGGTGCTCGGACTCACTGGGACTTCCATGCCGGATATTGCGCGCTCGCCATTGCCCACTAGAAACGTCATAATGTTCATGTAATTTTGTTTGATTAACTGCCTTCGTGGCCGAACGGTTACAATGTTGGTTTTTCACGCAGAGGTCCAGGGTTCGATTCCCGGGCCGGGAAAAATATTTGTATGGTCCACATTTATTTCTCTTATGGAACCCGCGACACCGGGTTTCCCTACCGTTATGAGTGTGTGCGTTACTTATTTTATTTATTACTTTTTTCTTAAGTGATGGGACGAACAAGTCGTGCGCCTGATGGTAAGCGACACGCCTGGCCATAACAGTTACAGTGTCACTCAGAGATTTAAATCGCCAAGATCTGAAGTGCACTGCCTCTGCGCTCATCACCCTGAGACATAGATTGAAAAGTTTCATGTGCACGTAATTTCACCAGCACATTTACTTACCTTACTTACTTACTAAAATGATCATGCTATGGTTTTCAATAACGTTAGAGTTTACTTTTGTCCCGAAGGATTAGAACAGTTAAATTAAGTGAAAACCTCCTAAAATCAAACCACTTTTGTTCCTTGTCTTTGACAACTTCAAATCTGGTTGATAAACATTTGCTGCTCATTGCCAAACGTGATAAAGTGGTATATTTTTATGGTACGAATGACGTTACAAGTTAATTAAAATAGAATATACTACAATATGACCTTCAATCTCAAAGCGAGATTATGTCGTCACTCACACATACAGGATTTGATTGATTTTGTGTGTGCAAAACCAGCGTGGGCACACTTTCACTAGCTTCAAAGTACAATAGTACCGTTGTACTTTGAAGTATCTGTAATGTAACTCTGTAATATCAGAAGGCAAATGCCTTTACACACGTCCTTAAAAAATATAGTTACTTTAACACCTATTACTTTCAGTAAATTCACCTTCGGGTAAGAGATCAAGTGGGCGTTCTTGGACAGGGTGCACGCTTGCGACATTGTTTACTCCTGTTACCCATCTCAGCATGTCTTCCACTCTGTAATAAGACATAATACATTAGATAAACTAAATTACTATGAATGATAAAGTGGCAATAAACTGTATAAACACGCAGTAAACAAATAACTTGAACATAAAAAAATTACATCCGTTTATGTAATATAAAATACTGTAAACATGTGACACATTATTCCTTTTATTTTCCAGCGAATAGCACTTTGAAACGCATGAACACGCATCCACAAGCGCACTACCGAATATTGGATTTAAATATTGTAGAGATCGATTATCTGATCCATCGTGTTATGATAGTTGATCGTACCGCACAAGGTTGAATTTTACTTAATTATTTCTGTATATTATTTGAATTGTTAATTTCATATTAAAAGTAGTTTGTGACGCAATAACCAGATGTCATCAAAGATTCCAGTCCAATAAAATTTAGATTTTATGTCATATGCACAGATTAATTCAAGTAAGCTATCCAAATTACTATAAACTAAATAAACTTTCAAAAAAAATGTTTTTACTGCCTCTCGCCCTCCTCTTTTTCTATGTAACCATTGATACCTATCTACTTTATTCACAAGTTGGTCAGATCAGTAGGCTGATTTTAATTTAAAACGGAATCGATCCGATTGGGTAGCCCATCCGAGTCTCGAAATCAGATAGGTTTCCGAGCGGGAAGATGAACCTGATTTTTCCTACTATGTTTCTAATTTGTGATTTAGATCAACTATTGTTCCGATTTGAAATGTCAAAAGTTTCCGATCGGCCAGTTGTGATTCGCAATTATGCGCCGCGACTCGGAAGAGACGCAGTTTCCGATCGGGAGGCAATCAAAATCAAGCTGCAGGTCAAGTACCAAAACCTATCAAAACAATCGCAAAATATAACTATTCAAGTGCTTTTAAATATATTTATAAAAATATATTTATTAAAACTTTACGCAGAATATTTAATTGCATGTACTATCCTAACCTAAACCCACAGAATGAGGTCGAACCATCTAGCAAATGCAAACAAATTCGGTTCTGGCAATGTACGGCCGCTGCCGCGACACGTTCTCTGCGCTCGCTCGGCTCACTCGTGCAACTTTGTCATATACTAACCTAACCTAAACCCACAGGAGCAGGTCGAACCAACTAGCAAATGCAAACAAATTCGGTTCTGGCAATCTAGGGCCAAATGCCTGTATACCATAAATTAATTATATCTGTTGAACGTTATATCGACTAAAAATATGTCATTTGTTGTTATATA